TACATGCATGCTATTTTATGAATGATTACGTGCTACGTGTTTAATCAGTTTTCAAATAACTCTAGCATGCTAATCCATACTAAAAGTTTGATGAGTTAAGGGTGGGCATTTGACCAGCAAGTCACGACCAGTATAAAACACTACCCGGACAAGTGGGTGACSAGTTAAGATTGAAATATCTAACCCAGGGTGTGTTTGTGACTAAATGACCCATACCCGGCTAAACGTTATACGAGATCTCGTATGTTCAGTGTCTTACAGATATATGTTTCCTTCGGCATTGCATGWTTTTCAGAAAATGCATACTATTTGGTACAAAGTTTACAAGTTGATATGTATGATGTGAAATGATCTTTACTCACGCAAACCATGAACTCACTGAGCTTTATAAGCTGACTATAATATGCATCTCAGGGCCAGGAAGTTCGAGGTTGGATAAGGGCAAGGGACTCGCGTAGAGAGTTACTAGTTATTATCTTATCTTTAGTTTTTGTCTAGCAGCGTTATATTAATCTTATGTAACTTAACCTGGTATGAAGCAGGTTAGGACTTAAGTTAATTTTGGACGATTCAAAGACTTTCGCTGTAAATGATTCAAACGGTGTTATTTTAGCCGTCTTTTAGGAATATGTATTCCGACATCGTTTCAGATTACGTGACATTCTCAAAAAAAAAAATTTGAGGGTGTTACAATTATATCTGAAAGCAGTAAGGTGAGAAAGTACATATGGGGTTTGGAGTCGAGTCTTCAAAAATATGTGATATCCAGGAATCCGACAACATTTCAAGCGGCAGTCGTTGCTGCTGAAATACTGGATCAGACATTAACCGACAACCACAAGAAAAGGTTAGAGAGAAAAGAAAGGGCGAAGCTACAATAACTGATTTCCGTAGACCAAGGTTTATTGAAAATTTGAATCTATCAGTCTCAAGGTTTGCTAATAGAGCATGTACCCGATGTCATAAAATACATCAGGGAATTTTCAATACAGAATCTCGAGTATGTTTTAAATGTCAGGAACCAGGACATATAGCTCGAGACTGTCGGATGACGCAGAGATGTTTTACTTGTATTTCATCTCAACATGTAAATGCTGATTGTCCGCAAGCAAAGAGTCGAGGGTCTGGTTTTGTTGGAGGATGGGGATCTGGATATTCTTGGGGCCGAGGACATGGTTATGTGCTAATAGGTCGTAGACAAATAGATAATCGTGTTAGTTTAAGTGGTCGAGGAAAGATAAGACGTGGGGAGTCTGCAAGAGGGAGAGCCTTTCAGATGACGAGAGGCGAGACGGAAGAGCACCCTGAAGTGGTAACAGGTACATTTCTCGTTGATTCATTATGTGCCAAAGTTTTATTTGATTCAGGTGCAAATCGTTCTTTTGTGTCACCATCGTTTGTTAACTGCGCACATTTAGAATCTAAAGCATTGAGTGAAAATATAATTGTGGAAACATCAAACGATAGTGAAGTTTCTGTTAAGGAAAGGATAGATGAATGCTTTATAAGTATAGAAAGGTGTGAGGTGCTTGTACAACTATTTCCTTTGCCTCTAAGGGAATTTGATATAATTATAGGCATGGATTGGTTAGCTAAAAACCAAGCCAATATAGTATGTGATGAAAAGATGATTCATATAGACTTACCGAAAAAAGGAAAGGTTGTGATTTACGGGGATCGACGAGATCATTACTCTAGCCTTATTTCGGTTTTAAAGGCTCGAAAATATGTACAGAAGGGATGTGTTAGTTTTCTTGCATATGTTATAGATATGTCACACCCCGCTAAAGCGGAATCACGAGATGTAACAGGCAAGCGAGTCATAGCAACAGTTMATAAATAACACTATTTCAAGTTGTTCAAAATAAAATGATTCATCGACATAACATGAGTTAGAATTTTACATAACGTTCACAAATACATCAAAACTTGACTTAATCGATCNTTTAGTTTAAGGTAATTAGGCTAAGATTTACCTAGCCTAAGCTTAAACTGAGAGGATTGTTAGAAGCTTTAGTTTAAGGTAATTAGGTTAAGATTTACTTAGCCTAAGCTTAAACCAAGAGGATTGTTAGATCGCATGTTTATGGCGTATTAGTATTGCTTATCATACGACTAAGTTTGATCCTACGTTACTATCCGACATAGTGCTCCTTTTATGACTTGTAGGAGACATGGTTTACACCATTCACACCAGGTCTACCAGACGCGGACGCGGACGCGGGCGCAGAAACGGAACAAGTAGGACACCCTACGGACTAGGACCGAGTAGAGGATCGGTTGACAGTCATCGCCCTAGCACCAGACAGGTTTCCCGCACCCGGTCCAGAAGCAATAGTCTGGCCCACACTGGTGAGGTGCCATCGCGAGATCCCATCAGGAGAAGGACCACACCCGAGCCTTCGGTGGACTACACGCCCCGCACCCCTACCCGTGAGGACATGATGGAGACTATAGAGAACCTGAGGGGCAAGAACACAAGGCTAAGAGAGAGTGTGACCCGAACGCTAGATGACAATACTAGACTGAACGAATGGCTGAACAATCTTCAGCGGGCACATGTCAAACAAGGAGGAGCCCTAATCGAGCTAATTGAAGAGAATGCGGACTTGTCGGACCAGTGTCATTCCCTAATTTGGGACAAAGTTGTGCTTGAACAGGAGCGGATAATTGTTGCTCGCCCAGTAGGCACTAGAATTAGAGACAGAGTTCACTTCTATAAGAGAATGACTGTAGACAATGCTGGTGTAGTAAGGGGTTATTTCTCCGAATGGGTCCGATGCATCAAGAATGGCCCAAGGGCTTGTGTGTGGTGGCACTCCAGCCCATCCACATCAATTGTACGTGTTTAGGTAGTTTTCTTCTAGCCAGTGCTACAATAGATTTTTTGGAACATTTACCTGTATTTAGAACCGTGAAGCATCCCATCTTTTGTAAGTAAATGGGATTTTGTAATGTCTCTCTCTTCCCAGGATTGTATTGGAACGAAATATATATATATATATATATCTTTTGGAGCATTATGCAATAGCGACGTGAATTCCTTATCATGTATTTCGCTGATATATAGTGATTATACTATATATGTATATGTATACGTATAATGTATATACATTAGTGTAATACGTTTAGTCGACTCTAGAACCTTGTTGAAACAATAATACTCTATTGTGTCAGTATGGTTTCTCGCGGATCAACAAGGAACGCCCGCAATGGGGGAGGTATCAATGGCGTAGCCCAACCGACAGTTCTGGTACGGACACGAGCCCAAAGTCGAGGTAGCAGAAGTGTCTAAACCGCTAGTTCGAGTACGACCCCATCCACGCCAGCTAGTTTGGCTATCGGTAGGAGCCAAGGGGGCCAAGGAGGAGAAATTCCTCTCATAAAGGAAGTGATGGCTGAACAAATGGCACAAGTCCTCCGGGATACGTTGCCAAATATGCTTAAAGAAATGTTGGGTGACAGACTTAAGGATAATGAAGGTGGGGAGGAAAGAAGCGTTCGACACGAGAACACTCAAGTCCCTGAAAGGGTGGAAGTGTCTGATAAAGAGAAGGTGGAGTCGCTCATCATCAAGAGAACCGAGTTGACTGCAAAGGAGAGAGGATGCAGTTTTAAAACATTTAAAGGCACCGGGCCGAAGGAATTTAAAGGAATAGAGGACCCAGTTGGCCTGATGAACTGGGTGGCCAAGATGCAGAGCTGCTTCAAAAATTGTAGATGCGCGGAAGATCAAAAGGTGACTTATGCTGCTACAACCTTTGTGGACTATGCATTGCATTGGTGGGAGTCTGAGTGTGCAATCAGAGGTGATGAGGATATTGCTGCCATGACTTGGGAACAAATGAAAAAGACGATGATGGATAAGTACTGCTCGCAAACGGAGGTGAACAAGCTAGAATCCGAATTTCTGAGATTAAAGCAATGATCGTTGTCAGTTCAAGAATATGTTAACGAGTTTATTGAAAAAGCGAGGTTCGCCAGTTACCAGGTGGCTACCGAGGAGAGAAAGATAGGTCGTTTCAAGGATGGCCTAAGAATCGAAATCAAACGTTACATGGACATGACTAAGCCGACCGCATTTGTACAAGCAGTGGAGATGGCAAAGGTGGCAGAGGAGAACAACGCTAGAGAGACTGGTGATAGAAGAGAAGCAAAGAGAAGGTGGGAAGGATTGAGCAAGTTCAACAAGAAATCCAAATGGACTCCGACTCTGGCTAAAACATGAAGTGAAGAATTCACTATCCCTTCATGTAACAAATGCAACAAGAGGCATAGGGGAGAGTGCAGAGCGGGGAGCCTGACGTGCTATAAATGTGACAAACCGGGGCACACCGCACGAGAGTACCCAGAAGGAAAGACTTGTTACGAATGTGGGGCTATGGGACATATACGACCTGACTGCCCAAAGCGTCGGAATAGTGTGACACCCCACGGGAAGACAACGAATAACGGATTTGGAAGGAGACCGGAAAATAGGAAGGAGCTACCCAAGGGACATGGTCGAGCTTACAAAATGACCTTGGAGGAGGCCAAGGAAACGCCCGACGTCGTATCCGGTATGTTCCCTATTAACAATGTGTATGCACATGTATTATTTGATTCGGGTGCAAACGGTAGTTTTGTATCTACCACCTTCTGCCAATATCTGAATAGGAGTGCCTGTAGACTAGACAAAACCTACACTATAGAAACAGCCGACGGTAGTCAGTGTAAGGTAGACGAAGTATTTGATAAATGCACAATTGTTATAGATGGGAAGGATTTCCCCGTTAGGATGATGCCGATGTGCTTAGGAGGTTTTGACGTGGTCTTAGGGATGGATTGGCTGTCCAACAATCATGTGCATACTATCGTATGCAATAAAAATATGATTAAGATTCAAACTCCGGAAGGAGAAACAATTCATGTTTACGGTGATCGAAAGAAGTGTGGCGTAGGGTTAATCAATGCAGTTAAGGCGAATAGGTGTTTGCGGAAGGGATGTGTGGCTTACTTGGCATACACCATCGACACCAAGCTCGAAAAGAAGGCAATACATGATGTTCCAGTGGTAAGGGATTACCCAGAAGTATTTCCTGATGAATTACCGGGAATACCACCGGAACGTCAGGTAGAGTTCCAAATCGATTTGGTACCAGGTGCGGTACCAATCGCAAGGGCGCCCTATCGCTTAGCCCCAACGGAAATGCAAGAGCTGATGAAGCAATTGCAAGAACTCTTAGATAAAGGGTTTATCAGGCCAAGCTCGTCGCCATGGGGAGCACCAATCTTATTCGTCAAAAAGAAAGACGACACAATGAGGATGTGCATCGATTATCAGGAGTTGAACAAAGTCATGATAAATAACAGATATCCATTGCCAAGGATCGACGACCTTTTCGATCAGCTGCAAGGAGCCAACTGTTTCTCGAAAATCGATTTGAGGTCGGGTTATCATCAGTTGAAGGTTCAAGAAGAGGACGTGTCAAAGACCGCTTTTAGGACTCGTTATGGACACTACGAATTTGTGGTAATACCGTTTGGATTAACAAACGCACCTGCGGCATTCATGGACTTGATGAATCGAGTTTGTGGACCGTATTTGGACCAATTTGTCATAGTCTTTATAGATGGCATTTTGATCTATTCGAAAAATGATAAGGAGCACGAACAACATTTAAGGTTGATTCTCGAATTACTAGGAAAGGAGCAATTGTACGCCAAGTTCTTAAAATGCAAGTTTTGGTTGCATGAGGTACAATTTCTCGGTCACGTAGTCAACACAGAAGGAATCAAGGTGGATCCGGCTAAGATTGATGCAGTTATGAACTGGGAATCACCAAAGTCAGTATCGGAGATCCGAAGTTTTCTAGGCCTAGCAGGGTATTACCGAAGGTTTATCCAAGATTTCTCCAAGATAGCCACGCCTTTGACGACACTGACGAAGAAGTCAGTTAGGTTTGATTGGGGTACAAAACAAGAGGAAGTATTTCAGACACTTAAGGAGAGACTAAGCACGCCACCAGTTTTAGCACTACCAGAGGGAGTAGAAGATTTTGCCATTTATAGCGATGCATCAAAGATGGGTTTAGGTTGTGTACTAATGCAGCGAGGCAAGGTCATTGCATATGCGTCTCGTCAGTTGAAAGAACACGAGAGGAAATACCTAACTGACGACATGGAATTAGCAGCTGTTGTCTTCGCGCTAAAAATCTGGAGACACTATTTGTACGGTACGAAGTGCATGATCTATACTGATCATAAGAGCCTTAAGTATTTGTTTGATCAAAAGGAGCTAAATATGAGACAAAGAAGATGGATGGAACTACTTAAGGATTGTGATTGTGAGATTCACTACCATCCAGGTAAGGCAAATGTAGTTGCCGATGCGCTTAGTAGGAAAGAGAGAAACAGATCAATCAGAGTCCAAGCCATGTGGATGAGTGTTAAAGTGGAGCTTTTAGACCGAATACGGGATGTCCAAAAGGAAGCTCTACTCGAAACGAACATCAAAAAGGAGAGAATGATTGGACAAATTAAGACCTTGACAGCTGGACCAGATGGAATATATAGACATGGGAATCGGGTTTGGATTCCTAGTTTGGGAGATCTAAGAAATGTAGTGATGGACGAAGCACATAAGTCTAAATATACTATGCATCCAGGTAGTAATAAGATGTACAAGAATATAAAAGAAAGCTATGGGTGGCCTGGTATGAAGAGGGCAGTAGCTGACTATGTGGGGAGATGTTTGACGTGCTTGAAGGTGAAGACCGAGCATCAAAGACCGTCTGGAATGTTACAATAAATGGAGATCCCAGTATGGAAGTGGGATATGATCATGATGGATTTTGTCACCAAACTTCCAAGGACCGTAAAGGGGCACGACGCCATATGGGTAATTGTGGACCGACTAACGAAATCTGCTCACTTCTTACCGATTAGCGACAAGTATACATTAGAAAATTGGCCCAACTTTATGTCAACGAGATTGTGTCGAGGCATGGTGTGCCGATATCTATTGTCTCAGATAGAGATGCTAGGTTTACTTCGAGGTTTTGGTCAAGTTTTCAACAAGAAATGGGAACGCGGTTGAACATGAGTACCGCATATCATCCTCAAACTGATGGCCAGAGTGAAAGGACGATACAAACATTAGAAGATATGTTGAGAGCTTGCGTAATTGACTTTGGAGGTAGTTGGGACAACTACCTCCAATTGATAGAATTTGCTTATAACAACAATTACCATTCGAGCATCAAGGCGGCACCATTTGAAGCGTTGTATGGCCGTAAGTGTAGAACTCCAATTTGTTGGGCAGACACTAGAGAAAGACAACTAGCTGAACCCGAGTTAGTCCAACAGACATCTGATAAAATAGTACAGATCAGGGAGAGGTTAAAGGTTGCACAAGATAGACAAGGGAGTTATACGGATAGAAGACGTCGACCTTTGGAGTTCCAAGTAGGTGATAAGGTCTTGCAGAGAATATCGCCATGGAAAGGGGTCGTAAGATTTGGAAAGAAGGGTAAGCTGAGCCCAAGGTATATCGGACCATTTGAGATAACTGCAAGAGTAGGAGCAGTTGCTTACCGGTTGAAGCTACCAGAAGAGTTAGGTAGTATTCACAATACCTTTCATGTGTCAAACTTGAGAAAGTGTTTAGCTGACGAATCAACTGTTCTAAATCTGGAAGACATTGAGGTTAACGACAAACTCGCTTATGTGGAAGAGCCAATTGACATATTGGATAAGAAGACGAAAAGACTAAGAAACAAAAGTATACCATTGGTATTAGTTAAGTGGAAATTCCACAAGGGCGCAGAAATGACGTGGGAACCAGAAGAATAGATGAAGGCTAAATATCCTTAGTTGTTTTAACGAGTTTTAATTCCGAGGACGAAATTTCTTGAAGGAGGGGAGAGTTGTAAAACCCAAAAATTTGTGGAATAAATAATTTATCTTTATTGTTACTTTATTTTAAGAATATATATATATATATATATATCAAATAAAAATAGAAGGTTGAAATAAGTTAAAAGTCGGACCAAAAGTGAAGGAAGAAGTCAAGACATGGGTGA